ATGAGGCTTGAACTCCAGATCTGGATGCTATCTCTGAGTTCTTTTACTTAAAGCTAGCATTCTACCACTTTTTTGGGTGTGTGGTTAATTGGAGATAAGAATGTCACTTCCAGTGCTGGCTGGTTTCACCATGATCCATAGATCTCAGCCTTTTGAGGAGCTAGGATTACAGGTATGAGCCTCCAGCACCCAATTCTTCCATCTTATTTTTAAGGAGAGGTCAGTATTACATGGTCAGCCTCGACCAGCATCTAGCTTCTGCTTAAAAATTTCCCTAAAGCAGGTTTCACTTGCCTCCCTCCAAGTTTACTGCACATTTCTCTTAAATCTCTGGAAGCATACCACTAAATAGATTAGGAAATTAAAAAAAATACATGTACATATCAAGTATAAAGAAATCCCATCTCTTCAATTTCAGTGGTAGTTTAAGGACCTAGTCAAGAGTTGGGCATTAGTGGCTCACACCTGTAGGAGGCTGAGATTTTAGGATTTTAGTTTGAAGCTAGCCTGGGCAGAACAGTCTGTGAGACTTGTATCTTTAATTAATCAACAGAAAACCAGAAGTGGAGGTTTGGCTAGTGGTAGAGCTCCAACCTTGAAGAAAAACTAATCAAGACCTAGAGGCCCTGAGTTCAAGTCCCAGTACTGGAATCCAAAAAAAAAAAAAAAGAAAAAATACATTTTTTTGCTTTCTAGCCAGTCCTTCCCTGACTGTTTAACTTTACAATAATAGTTCTGTTACAAAATTTCTTGTCCTTGGTTTCCTGAAACATGTATTGCTTTTAAAATTTCCCCTTCTTTCTCTCTTATCTGAAAAGTAAACCTGTTGTTTCTCATTGACTTGTTTTTAACCTTTTTTGATTTTTTTTTTTTAAATCTTATTCTGGGGATTGAGCCCAGCTGGCATGCTAGACCGAGCTACCACCACAGCCTAGATTTTGATTTCTTGTTATTTTAGGTGTTTTTTTTTTTCCAGACCCGGGGCTTGAACTCAGGGCCTAGGTACTGTCCCTGAGCTTCCTTTTGCTCAAGGCTAGCACTCTACCACTTGAGCCGCCGTACCACTTCTGTCCAGCTTTTTCTGTCCATGTGGTCCTGAGGAATCAAACCCAGGGTTTTGTGCATGCAAGGCAAGCACTCTACCACTAAGCCACATTCACAACTCCATTTCTTATTTCTTTGATAGAAAGATAGCAAAAATTAATAGACAGTGTGGGAAGACTCCAAATCTCTCTTAGTTACAGTCTTACTATAAGTGGAGATGTGAGATCATTTTCATGCAGTTTTCCTTGGAAAATGATTTCATGTGCTTTATGATTTCTCTTAGGACAGTCATGTGTTTGTTAATGTCTCTTTCCATTTTTAAATAACCTTTCTTGCTTTGGAATATTACAAAAGATAGAATCCTGTTGTTTGCATAAAGTCTGACAAATTTTAAATTAAACTGAAATTGAATTCTAGTTTTCATGTCTTACTATGCAGTTACTAAGTTACTATAGTTTTAGATTGCCCTTAGTAAGAAAGCATCTAGTTGACAGTGACTGTCTCTCTTATACTTTATTTGTGCTCTCATCATGTCATGAACCAGTCTTAGCTTGCAAATGTATGTGTCTTCCCTGGCTTCGTCTTGGGCATTAGAGGAGGGATACCTCATAGTCGCTTTGCTTTCCAGTGTGTTCTAAGCAAGTTATTTAGCAGTCTTTAAATTTCTTTTTTTCTCATCTGTAAAATGGGATCAAGATTATCCTTTTAATTAAAAAATTTTTAAGTTGTATAAACAAAAGGGTTTCAAGTTAAAAAATCAGATTATGAGTACAGTGCGTCTGAGTTTAGTGTCATCCCTAAAAACCATTTTTGGAGTTGGAGATTTAGCTCAGTGGAACAGCGTTTACCTGGCAGGTACAAGGTCCAGAGTTTGGTTTTCAGCTCTACCAAGAAAACGTGAAACAAGAGATTGTTAGTCATTGGGTATAACATGAGAAGTATTAATAAGTTCATGGTTTAGTATGCATGAAATTCTAAAATGTCAACTGTTGTAAAAATTGCTATTCATTGTAGAGTCTGGCACTAAAAAGTGCTTTATAAATACTGATTGAATTGATGAAAAATAGGGTAAAGAAGTCTTATTGCAGTATGTAATTATTATTGTGTTTTAAGTTAGCTTTAATAATTTAGATTTAAGTAGAAATAAAAATCTATTAATAAAGTTTCTATAATTTTTTTCACAATTAGTTGTTATAAATTTTACATTCAACATGGAGTGAGAAGCTAGAGGAAACTAGGTACACTAAGCCAAAATTATTTGTTTTTCAGCTATGTGGGCCTTGGTTGGTAAATGAGGACTGAATAAGCATTCTCCTTCCTAAACTTTTTTATAATGTAACCACCTTTTAGTTTAACTATAATTTTTGTTGTTATAGATATTTCTAATAGATTGTTAAAACTAGTTCAACTTCTTAGAAATTCTATATCATGATAAAATTGCAAGCACAGAAGTAACATCCACAGAACAAGCAGAAAAATGTTCAGTTGAACATGAGCTGAGAGGGCTGGGAGTATATGTAGCTCATAGATAACAGGATTTGCCTATCATGTGCAAAGTTTTATTTCTAACAACTGCAAAAATAAAATGAATTGTGTATGAATGAAAATAACGTATTCACTAATACATTCTTTTCCTTTGGGCAGGGATTTGCTATGTAACTCAGGCTGGCCTGGAACTTACTATGTAGCCCAGTCCGGCTTCTAACCTGAAAGCCTCTTGCCTCAGTCTTTCAGGTGCTAAATTGCAGGCATGCGCTACTATGCCTAATTATACTTTTTTTTTTTTTTTGGTGGGTCATGGGGCTTGAGCTCTGGGCCTGGGTATTGTCCCTCAGCTCTTCAGCTCAAGGCTAACATTCTACCACTTGAGCCACAGCACCACTTCTGGTTTTCTGAGTGGTTTATTAGAGATAAGAGTCTTACCAACTTTCCTTCTAAGTAAAAAACCTAATGGTAGTTTTATTGCTAGGCGTGTTCATGCACAATTATACAAAGAAGAGAGCTATTGAACTTCTCTGCCTAGGGTAGCTTTGAACTGCCACGTTCTGAATCTTAAACCTTCAAAGTAACTAGAATTATAGGGGTGAGTCCCTAGCACTCTGCTGTAAACATGCAAAATTTAATACGTATTTGGAGAATCAGTGACAATCAGTATTTTATCAAAAGTTAATATGAAGAAAATTAATTTCTAGGTATGAGTTTATGAAAGACAACTCATAAATTCACCTTTGGAGATAATTCTTGTCCCAAGCCTTATGACTCCTTTATAGATACTTATGAAGGAGAGCAGACCATTATTCAGCTTTTTTTGTTTACTGCACCAGTTTTGTTCACTACAAGGTACTGCTGTAACCAAGCTAGGTTATTCCAAATTCCTTCTAGGACTGCTTCAAGGTAATTGAGTTTTATTGGGCAGGCATAGGAATAGCACTACGTCAAGAAACACACATAGCTGGGTGCCAGTGGCTCACGCCTGTAATCCTAGCTTCTCAGGAGGCCCAGATCTGAGGATCACAGTTGAAAGCAGACCAGTCGGGAAAGTCCATGAGACTCTTACCTCCAGTAAACTAAGAGAAAGCCAGGAGTGGTGCTGTGGCTCAAGTGGTAGAGTGCTAGCCTTGAGCACAAAGAGGCATGAAACACACACACACGCACGCACGCACGCACGCACATGGATTCTCAAGTCAGCTCCCTCACTGAGAAGTCACCAGATTATTTGGGCCTTGATTTTTTTTTTTGTCTGCAATATGAACATATGTATATGTATGTTCTCTGAAGTCCCTTTTCTAATAATATTTCAAATTTATGTAGAGCTATTTTGGCTCTGGTATGAATTAAGGAGAAAGTATAAAGTATAACTTTTACATAAATGTATATAAACAAAAATGTTGAGAATTTAGATGGGAAAAGTTGTGGCAGATGTTAATTACTGTCAAGGTGTTATGCTGAGCCTGCCCATAATATATGTAAATATTAGGACAGCCATATGTCTTATAAAGAAAGAAACATCTGTGGCCAAAGAATATATGGAAAAAAACATACATGGAATTTGAGTTGGAAGAGTTTTGCTCATTGTTGTTAAATTTGAAAATAGCTTTAAAATACTTGCCAGCAAGTCTTGAACAATTCCCCTTTGTTTGGCTATAGTGGCTGTTATTGTGAGATTAAATAATCCCTTTATTCCATAGGTATATTATAGAGTACCACTTGTATTCTACTCCCCTCTATTGGAATAGGAGGCTGAGATGAACCTGTTCCTACCCTCTTGGAATTTAACCTAAATAGACCATAAGAGCAGATATTTATAAGTTAAAATACACTGCTGCAAAACAAAAAGTAATGTGATGGAAAGTAATAGAGAATGGTAAGGAACTTAAGACCTGGGTATTAATAAGCTAGCTAGGCAAACACTATAGACAGATAAAGGTCAGATGAGCTACCTTGAAATGGAAAAAAGAACTGAAGGAAGGGCAATGTGCGGACAGGTGAGGGAAGAAAAGGAAGTGGGAATAGCTTGAGAAAGATTTATAGAATGCTAATCTTGGATTTCATTCCAACTGCAATAGGAAACTAGTGAATAGGTTTAAGCAAGGAAAATAACTTGGTACATTAAACATTTTCCAGAAGTCACTGAAATTAGAGGGACAACAACGGAAACAGACATCGTTAATAGCTGTGCCACACAAGGCTGGTGTCATAGACAAGGGTAGTGGCTCTCAGTGAAGACAAGGGAGTGGACAGAGTAAGCTGGTATGTGTTTTGCAGACAGGCTGGCAAAATTTGCTGTTGGACTGTGTTATGGGAAGAAAGGGAAATGCTTTCAAATCAATGGTTTTTTTTTCTTCTATTTTTTTTTTAAAGAAAATGTGAGCTGTTTAAAACCCTGTATATATGAGCCGTATATTCAAAGCCAGTATCCCACCTAACACTTCCATCACTTTATTTTGTGTAGGCTTATGCTTCTGGATGTGACATTGTAATTCTGGGAAGTGATTTTGAAAGATTACAGATTATCCCAGGAACGAAACACGGAAATATCCAAGTGGGGTGTGTTGACTGTTCAGTGCAGCAAGGCAAGGTTGGTAATCTGTGGCAATATACAGATTCGTTTTTGTCAAGATAATTTGTAAAGTATGGACTTCCTTTTCCATTAGAGACTTGCTTTGTGTCAAGGACAAATTGCTTTGGCTAAGATACATTGTAGAGTGTGTTCAGAATTGTTCTTACATAATTTAAAAATGTTACACAATTTTTACCTTTGAATTAAGAAACATAATTTCAAGTCTAAAACCTGCTTATTTTATTTAGTACTACAAAAAACAAAGTAAAATCAAACGGAAACCAAACCTAACATATTTGAAAATTATTCAATTGAGAAAAAGGAATGACATTAGGTCTTCAACGTGTTTATAACTTTTTTCCCCAGAAAATGAATTCTTACATAGTCATTGTCTTGTAAGTAGGTAGTTTTCTCCCTGTACTTTTAAAGTTTGTCCCTAAAAGTCTTCTAAAATGTGTGATAGTTTATTAATTTCCAAGTTTATAAGAAAGATACAAACTTTGCCTGGACTTCTGTTTGTATAAAAAAGTAAAACTGTAATTTGAAAGTAAAATAACTGTAACAAAGGACAAGAAACAGCATATACATAGTTCTTGTAGATCAGCTTAGACACAAATCTGTGGTGTATGAGAATGGAAGGCATACTAATAAGCAGCATATATAGGTTGTAATAGTACTACACATGATAGATTATCAGTATCCAGACTCAATTGAACTTTGCAAATTCATTTTTCCCTAGGGATGTAGATACAGTTTTGACTTTGTGTGTGTGCCTGAGGTTAAACTCAGGCCTCACGTATGCAAAAGACACCTGGCCTCGCATAGAACATTTTGTGTGAGGAATAACAATTGTATGAGAGTGTGTGAATCTAATTACTTTTTAAGAATAGCTATCCTAATTTCTAATAAATCTTCTAGCATGAAAAGTTACTATTTGGGTGCTGGTGGCTCACGCCTGTAATCCTAGCTACTCAGGAGGAGGTTGAGATCTGAGGATCGCGGTTCAAAGCCAGTCCAGGCAGGAAAGTCCGTGAGACTCTTTATCTCCAATAAACCACCAGAAAACTGGAAATTGTGCTGTAGCTCAAATGGTTGAGTGCTAGCCTTAAGCTGAAGAGCTGAGGGACAGTGCTCCAGGCGCAGAGTTCAAGCACCACAACTGACTCAAAAAATAAATAAATAAATAAAAAGTTTAAGAATATACTCAAGAAATCCACAAAAGGGATAGATTTGAATTTCATTATTTTTAGAAGTTAATATATAGCAACAGAACTGTGAACTTTCAGGATAGACTACCCAAAAAACCATTGTTTGAATGCTATGAAGTTACATATTTAGGAGGAATTACATTGATAAGTTTTCTCCTGAAAGGAAAAAAATTAGTATTACTATTCATGTTAAATGTTATTTACTATATGCTAAGTGTCTTACAAATATTCTTTACAGGGCTGGGAAGGTGGAAGCTCTAGCCTTGAGCTGAAGAGCTGAGGGACAGCGCCCAGGCCCAGAGTTCAGGCCCCACAACCAGACCCCCCCCCCCAAAAAAAAATCTTTACAGTCCTTAAAATACAACTGCTGTTAAGATAGTATTGTATGTATTGTAAACACAGATAGGGAAACTTTTATATAGGTTTAGAGAGATGAACTTGCCAGATACAGAAGGTAGGAATCTAAGCCACGAGCATTATTGAATGAAATTGTGTGTATGCAGATATATTAAAAATTACAATACTTCATTTTTTCTTTTAATCCATACTAATTTTTTCTATTTTCTTTTAAAAGATTGCAGCATCCTATGGAAATGTTATCTCTATCTTTGAACCAGTTAAGCTGCCAAAACAAACGAAAAATTTGGTCAGTAATTTATAATTTTTTTTTTAGGAATTAAAATGTTTTTTATTGTTTAAAGTATATTAAATCAAATAAACTACATGTTAAATCCAACTCCCATATCAGAATATATTTAAAACTTTTATTAAGCCAGGCGTCCGTAGCTCACGCCTATCATTCTAACTACTCAGGAGGCTGAGATCTGAGGATCACAGTTCAAAGCCAGCCCGGGCAGGAAACTTTGTGAGACTCCTATCTCCAATAAACTACTCAGAAAACCCGAAGTGGCACTGTGGCTCAAGTGGTAGAGCACTGGCCTTGGGCTGAAGAGCTGAGGGACAGTGCCCAGGCCCAGACAGAGTTCAGGTCCCAGGATCGACAAAAAAAAACCCAAAACAACTTTTTATTAGAATTGAATTATACTAAATTGTGCCCAAAAAATGCCTTGAAATGTTTTCTTTCCCTGCTGTCATTTTTTTTTTTCCCGGTTGTGGGGCTTGGAAACTCTGTGCCTGGGCACTATCCCTCAGCTCTTCAGCTCAAGGCCAGCGCTCTACCACTTGAGCCACAGCGCCACTTCTGGTTTTCTGAGTGGTTTATTGGAAATAAGAGTCTCATGGACTCTTCTGCCCGGGCTGGCTTTGAACCGTGATCCTCAGACCTCAGCCTCCTGAGTAGCTAGGATGACAGGCATTAGCCACCGGTGCCCAGCTCCTCCTGTCATTTTTTAAAAACAATATTTTTAAAAGAATACTTTAAAAAACCCGGTGCTGGTGTCTGTTGCCTATAATCCAAGCTGCTCAGGAGACTGAGATCATGGTTTGAAGCCATTCTAGGCTGAAAAGTTCCCATGAGACTCTTATCTTCAATTAACCACCAGAAACCTGTAAATGGCACTGGGGCTCAAAGTGATAGAGTGCTTGCCTTGAGCCAAAGAACTCAGGGACAGTGCCCAGGCCCTGAGTTCAAGTCCCACAACCAACAGCAACTACAAAAAGAGTATTTTAAAAGAATAATAAATATGAAAATATATTTGGCAGAAAAGATGCTAATCATAATTGACTAATTTTTTCTAATTTTAGGAATTTTATAGTCAGTGGCAGAAAAGTGGTCAGTTTTTTCTGGAATCAATAGCACACAATATAACTTGGGATCCCACAGGTAAGAAAATAAACAGGATTAACCACAAATAAAATAACATTGGTTGGGCTATTTTTTTTTGTTGTTGTTGTTGTTGGTCATGGGACTTGAACTCTGGGCCTGGGCACTGTCCCTCAGCTCTTCAGCTCCAGGCTAGTGCTCTAGTGCTTGAGCCACAGCACCATTTCTGGTTCTCTAGTGGTTTATTGGAGATAAGACTCTCATGGACTTTTCTGCCCAGGCTGGCTTTGAACCACAATCCTCAGATCTCAGCCTCCTGAGTAGCTAGGAGTAAAGGCGTGAGCCACTGACGCCTGGCTTGGGCTATTGTTTTCACTGCTCATGTAATTAATGCATCAGGTTGTGGTGAATATAAATCAGTAGAGAAAAGAGGTTTCCCTTTGCTTCCAAGTTGTTTGAACAAAACTAAAATTCAGCAGCCTTTTCCTTTTCCCCAAGTACCCTTTTATTTTAGTTTTTGTGTGAAGTTATATTCTTTTTATAGTATTATATGAAACTCTTGAGCATGTAACTTAGTGTTATATACCTATATAATGGTGATCCTTTTTTCTTTTGTTTCTAGGCAGTCGTCTGTTAACTGGTTCCAGCTGTTTGCAACTCTGGTCCAATACTAACTTACCAAAACAAACTGAAGATGAAAATCCAGATGGAACAGAAAATAACTTTGAGGATTGGAGGTGCATTTGGCATTGCAAGTAAGTAATTAGAAGATTAAACTGATATGCCTGTTCTCTATAGTAGTTTTGTTATTTTGGGGCTGGGAAGGTGGCTCAGTGGTAGAGCGCTTGCCTTGCATGCCTGAGGCCCTGGGTTCGATTCCTCAGCATCACATAAGCAAAAAAGAAAAAA